GGGGGGGCGAGAGGGGCTCTGCAGCTTACCTGGCTGCTTCTTGCTCTGACTGAGGGCTGCTGGGAGCAGGGGGTGGGGCTTGTTGCATGTCCCCACCCCCTGGGCTCTTTACTGCCGGAGCTCCGCTCCTGTGCGCTCCTGCAGGAAATGACCCCAGCCATCAACTCTTCCAGCAATGTTATCTCTCTATCCAGTCATAAACTGAGACAGGGACAAAGTATTTGCCCTGTCTGAGAGATCTTTATTTCTGCTTGTATCTGACAAAGGAAACTCTGACTCTCGAAAACTTCTACCCCGACGATCTTGTGGTTCTCCACTAACAAATTTATTCACAGCAAAAAGCCAGCACTCTAATACAACAAACTAACTCAAACTAAATTCACATAACCACAAGCATAAATGGAATATATAAAATGAATATCAAATAGAGAGTGCATGTAAAACCTGTTATGTCCTGTAACAAATTACATCTATTCGTCTTTCACTAGGAGCTTTCTAGTCCTTAAAGCTAACCAGCCAAATTTGGCAAGTTTAGCTGTAATCTTGGGGCACCGACTTTCTAGGAGGTTCTTCAGCAATTGCATCTTTTGACTAGTTGAGGATAGAGTAGTTGTAGTTGTGGTTCTCTAAGGTGCTGCTGGACTTGAATCTCACTATTTTACAGCAGACCAACACGGCCACCCTCTGAAACTATGTCCTGTCTCTGGGGCTCTTCCTCCGCCCTACCAGATCCATACAAATGATACCACTCTGGGAGACCTCCCTTGCAGTCTTTAAGCAGCGGCTGGACAAACACTCGTCAGGGATGCTCTAGGCTGATCCTGCATCGTGCAGGGGGTTGGACTAGATGGCCCCTTCCAACTCTGTGATTCTAGGATTCTATGGCCTGGCGTGATCTGGTCCACGGAGTTGCGAAGAGTCGGACTCGACTGTGCGACTGAACAACAAAAATGACCTGAAGGTTTATTTCCACTACCTCCAACGGAAGCAATGCTTTCAACAGATCGCTGAAAAGTTCACTAACACACAGCAACCACCTTCTCAGCACATCAGAAGAGAAGATTCGTCATGGATTCCTCCCTGTTTGGATGAAACTCCAGATTGGACTTTCACACTGAGTCTTTCTTTTGTGGTGCTGAAGCTGAAACTGCGGACAAGCTACATCACTTGTCCTATAATTTCAGGTTTGCAGAGAACATGTTGCCATTCACAGTCGGACAACACCGACATCAAAGGATTGCAACGGTAGCCATGAACTAATCTGATTACATTCTGGAGGCTACAGGTTTCTGTTTTCAGACACACACACACACACACACACCTCCCGAATAAGTAACTTTGCAATCTGCTGATGAACCTTCCCATAGAACCAGACTTCCACAGATATTCCCAAGAAGCCTCATCAAGAAGTAATCTATGGCAGCAGTGTCAAACATATGACCTGGGGGCCAGAACCAGCCCGTCCAGTGGTCTTTCCCAGCCCACAAGCAATTGGTAAATATGGAAATATAAGTAGCTCCCCCTTTTCCTTGGAAAAAACCTAATCTTGTGTATGATTAAATAGATTTATTGGGCTTTTTGTGGGCTACCCAGTATATCAGTTGCTTTCACTGCTAGGAATCAATTGCTTTTGTTTGTATTTTGAGTAAAAAATAATAATGTTAATTTGGTTTGCCTGTGTCCTTTATAAAGTTTATATCTCCGGTACCTGGCATTACATTTTATGGCACTCATGACCTGGCCCGACAAAGTGACCTTTATGTCAGATCCAGGCCTCGTAACAAATTAGTTTGACGCCTCTGATCTATGGTATACCCAAGATACACAAGACGGTGAATCCTGGATGCCCCCATAGTCAGTGTCAAGACTGCAGGAGTGTCTGGCTACATCCTCAAACGTTACGCTACTAACACTGCTAACTGTTTCAGGGATTCCACAAACTTCCTGAGAAAACTTCACTCCAACAATGACTCTCCTGAAAACACCATTCTGAACATAAGAACATAAGTTGGATCAGGCCAAAGGCCCACTGTGTCATACAGTGGCCAGAAATACCAGTACCATCAGGAGATCCACCAGTGGGGCCAGGACATTAGAAGCCCTCCCACTGTTGACCCCCCAAGTACCAAGAAGACAGAGCATCACTTGCCCCAAAGCCCCTATCTATACCTTGTGGCTACTAGCCACTGATGGACCTCTGCTCCATATGCTTATCTAATTCCCTTTTGAAGCCGTCCATGCTTGTAGCTGCCGCCACTTCCTGTGGCAGTGAATTCCATGTGTTAATCACTCTTTGGGTGAAGAAGTACTTCCTTTTATTCGTTCTAACCCGACCGCTCAGCAGTTTCATGGAGTGCCCTCGAGTTCTTGTATTGTGAGAAAGGGAGAAAAGTACCTCTTTCTCTACCTGCTCTATCCCATGCATAATCTTATAAACCTCAATCATGTCACCCCTCAATCGTCGTTTCTCCAAGCTAAAGAGCCCCAAGCGCATTAACCTTTCCTCATAGGGAAAGTGTTCCAACCCTTTTATCATTCGAGTTGCCCTTTTCTGCACTTTTCCCAAAGCTATAATATCCTTTTTAAGGTGTAGTGACCAGAACTGCACACAGTATTCCAAATGAGGTCTCACCATTGATTTATATAGGGGCATTATTATATTGGCTGATCTGTTTTTAATACCCTTTCTTTGCCATGTTGACGCCCACTCGCCCATCTTTGACAGATCCCTTTGGAGTGCCTCACAATCCTCACTGGTTTTCACCACC